ATGTTATTGTAAAGGTTTTTAATTAAAGTGTGTGTTGTAGTTTTTGCACATATGTAGGAGAATATTCCAATGTGAGGCCAAGTTTGTGTTTTTAATCATTCTAATGACTGTACACGTTTTTTTACATATCCACCTACCTTACTATTTATACAAAACAAAGAAGTCTGTACGCTATTAACTAAAAAGGTTATGATTTCTTTGTACAGTTTTTATTAACATACCCACTTAGGTACATAATTATAAAACAGAGACGTTCGTTATGTTTGTTGATGATTTACTCAAAAACTACTGAACAGATTTCTATTAGGTTTACACTAGCGGATAGAGTGAATTTCTTAAATGTTTCATTGTAAATATTAAGCGAAAAGCTAGTCTAAATATCATAGATAAATGTAGGTACTCATTGAGGGTAACTCTCATTTCTTTGCAACTTTGCAGGGAAAAGTACTTTACAATGGGTGAGACGACGCGACGAGAGAGGAAAGAGAAGAGGGCCGAAGAGGTCGCAGCCTACCTCGCGAGGAAACTGGAGACCACCAGATATGACCTCACGTGAAACACAATCTCCTTACTCCTGACCATTTCCCAAGACTTGGGACCAGTGCCTTTAGCCAAATGCCACTTTAGCGCTTGTCTACCGAGAGAGTAGATAACTAAATATATGATGATACTGATGAGTGTCAAAATTTACGTCAATCCCATATAATTTGGTTTTCTACTCTACAAGTAGACAAGCGCTAAATGGCATTTGGCTACAGCTGCAGGACTGTCTTACGACTGAAATTCATAACCGATCCTAATTCCCAATCCTAAATCTTTGAATTCACCTCCACTTTTACCAGAAGTATAATAGACTTAGCACATGTTTCACCACCTTCGTAAAAGTACCCGACTTACTTATGTGACAGATAGTTCATACAGCTTCTGCCCGCGCTCCTTTGAGACAAAAAGTAGCCTATATTTTATTTCAGACCATAATCCACCCCTGTTCCAAATTGCATCCCTGTCGCGGAGAACCTAACGGGTAACCGGGGCTTCGGCTCGACGTGCAGGGAGAAGGAACGGGGTGGTTTTTAGTCAGTAAGAGTCTGACACTCCTTCCCGCCTCACCCAGGCGGGAGCAGTCATTCGATGATTGTCTCCCCTTAAAAAAAAATCCTTCAGGCGTTTTGGCGTGACTAAGTAACAATTAATAACACAAAACTTCGCATTTGTAATATATGGTAAGATATAGCGGATTTGGATTGTTTATTAATTTCGATCGTTGTCTTAATCATTCGGTTCAATCAGTCAGTATTTTTTTCACGTGAAAGTTACCTGTGAAGATGTTAAATAATGTATGTTAAGTGTTAATTAAAATACAGATTTTAACAACATTTTGTCTAGTTGATTTTATTTATTGTTCCTTGGTCCTTATGCAACTTTGAATGGGGTAGGGTAGTGGAATTTTTTAATATCCATCTAGTCTAAGTATGAATTATTTAATTTAAAATTTGTTATTAACAAGAGTACTTCTTTCCATTGGAAACTTAAAGGTGCCGTGATTATAGGCCTATAATAGATACTTAACTTAGTACTTATAAATAGGTACTTATTTAAATTCATTTGACCTGATTTGTTTATATTATTAGAAAATTACGACATCGACAAGGATTGGTAGGAGTTTTATTTTTAGCAAGAGATAGCTAGAAGCAGAAGGCAAGGGTTACTTAATTCATTCAATTACGAATTTACAATATCCTGTTCTCTATAGAAATGTACGCAAGTAAAATAGTCAACTACCTACTACTAATTTGTAATTCTCTTTGTCTTGTAGTTCCTACTTTTTATTTGATGATACACGTAACATAACATAACATAACATCACGCCTTTTATCCCCGAAAGGGTCGGCAGAGGTGCACACAGAAGTAACACCACTTTTCACTATTTATGTTTTGACTCCCATGTAATTTGGGGGTGAGCCTATTGCAATATACCGGGCACATTACCAGACTCCGTGCTACTATTGAGATTTTTTAAAATCCAGTAATACTTTGCCCGACCCTTTCTTCTTGAGTCGCACTTGTGACCAGTCGGCCAACGAGCTATTTGACGATATGCCTTTTTATACTCTGTACATACCTACTCTCATGGATAACAGTACTTATAGTTGTTTTTGACAACGACGTTTTGACGACGTTAAAGTTTGCAACGGTAAAAAAAGCTTTTATTGGACAAATTATAAAGGGTACAAGTATATTATTTAGACATAACTAGCAACTCTCGCGAGGTTCCATCCGCTGCTCATCTCCTACTGACCGTGATGTTTTATAATCTAGAAAGAAAATAAAGAAGAAATTCAATTTAAACTAGTATTCCCGGAGATCAAAAAACAAATAAGTATGGTACGGTAGTTTGTAACTGGGCAAATTCAATACTAATTGACTTGACGAAATGTAAAAACGATAGTTTTCTTTGATTACAGATATTATGTATTTTTGAAGCAATTACAAAGTAAATTAGCTTTACATACAACAAAAGACGTACGTATAAAAGTCATATCATGGTGGGTACCTATCAAAACATTAGGTATGTTTTACAAAACGTTAAAGTAGCCAACTAACGATAGTGATTGTTTTATTATATTGAATTGAAATGTCGTAAATAACATCTTAACGACTGACCAAACGAGAAAACTATCAAATTCAAATTTTGTGTATACAGATACCCACAAGAGTAACAATAAGATAAATACAGAAATACCCACTGAACTTATTTCGTAAATCCAGAACTTTTTGCAATAACGTTATAAAGAGGAGGTATAAAAGAATAGAAAATCAAAGAATTGAAGGTAACATAATATTTATTTAAATTAAATAATAATTACTTCTACCCAACTTTGACACAACCAAAAACATTCCATACTTACACCATGTTTTCGATATTAATAATATAACATTTGATTTACTAAAATATCTCTTCATAATAGACATAAATGGTAGTCATATTTATGTAATAAATAATAACGAAAACAAACACATTTGTTATCTAACTCCCTTCTAACGTAAAACGGAATTCGAAGGGTTAATAGATACAGAAGAGGTATGAACAAATGTTGGGAAAATATTTTGACATCTATTCATCGTATTCCTGTATATTCACTCTTTGAATTCTATTCACCAAATTTTACAGTAGGTGATAATATATTATCTTGCAAACATAATAATGTATACCAGTCTACAAGTCTTTTTTGAGATATAGGGTACACAAGATGATGGATCACCTGAAGCTTTTTAAATTACATTTATTTTTTATAAATTATTGGGTTTTAGGGTTCCAGCGATACTTTAGATGAACCATTTACTTCATTGTTTTAAATATTATAAAATATGTTTGAAATATTATACAATTCTTATTTTTACAAGATACTGCATCTTATAATATGTGTATAAAATAATAAACAAACATTGACTATAGACAAGCGACAATAATACAGGGTGTAAATGGAACACTTCCGAAAACGCAGACCGGTGATGGTAAAAAACGCTTTTAATTTAAAAAAAAAAGTAGGTAAGGAATTAAATGTTTGTTTCATGTAATAATAGTTGTAATCAACTGCCCAACGTTGACGTTGCATGAATAAAACGAAAACAAACGATTGAAATTGTAAAAACAAATATTTTGGAGGTGTTCCGTTTACACCCCATATAGTCAGGTCCTCTATAATATTATCATTAATTATATTATCTATAATAGTGCTATAGAATGTGGTTAGTCAGTGATGGCGAGTGCGAGCATCATCTGCGAGAGGTCGGGAGTGGCCGGCAGGGCGCGCGCCGCTCGCTGGCGCCGCGCGGCCGACGACTGCGCCCACTGACACAGCTTCCAAACCTCCTTGCGCTTGGAACTGTTGCCGGCCGACTTGTAGTGGTTCAGCAGGTTGTTTGTTACCTGTTAAACATTCATTAAATGAAAATTCAATACATTATAAAACGTGACGTTATTGCTGCTCAACATTTTAGTGTGTAGTGATAGTCACTACACAGACACACAGTGAGATGACCAATATCAGACAAAATAATACTTATTGTATGTGACTGGCAAAAATAAATAATATGTACTATAAGTATAACAAATAATAATTTTGACACATTTTTCTTACACACATTAATAATTTTTAAAAGAATTATTAGTAGTATTGACTCTTACCAAGAACAGGCCGAGCAAGGCCCTCATGTTCTCAGGGTTGAGCTTCAAAGCCTGGCAATAATAAGTTTTGGCTAACTCCATATTTTCTACGCCACCCTGAAAATTATGTTTACATGCATTATAAAACTAAACAAATGCGCATTTCTTGAGGAGGGATATACACTTATATAAGCAGGGATATACACTTTATTGCCTTAAACTGTCAAACACCAAGCGGTCACCGGTGACCGCAACCTATTGTTCTATAATTGTGTCTATAATGACGGTACTCGACGAGTTAAATAATATCTAATCATGTCAATGTCAAATCAATCATAATCTAAATTATGTTCGAATACAAAGGAAAATTTCTAAAATTAAAGGTTCTTCAAATAACAAAGAAGAAGAAAGAAGAAAAAAATATAATAATTTTTGGACATAAGGTTCACATAAAGTTTAAAAAAAGAAAAAAAAGTAGGTGTCACTCAAGTTTCTATGGCATCTTTTTATTTTTGTAAAACAAAAACAAGACTTAATGTCCACTTACCATAGTGTACCTGATGTCAGCTAGTCGCTGGTGCATGAGATGGTTGTGTGGCTGGTGCAGGATGAGTTCCTCGGCACAGAAGGCGGCGCGCGAGTACTCCTGCACCTGCAGGTACAGAGAGCACAACTCCTGCCACGCCTCCACGTCTGACATGAACCTGAAGATACGAGGAATATTATTTATTATTATTATTTTATTTATTTATTTATTTCAACTCTTACAGCTAACATTACAGGTAAATTATATAACCTAATGCGTTAGTGTGGCACTTTATACGGACATTTACTTACATTTACAAAACTAACAATAACAAATTAACAATACCTAGACTAATAAAAGCAACTTAACACTAAAACTATATCTACTACTCTAACCTATAACACAGTATATATAAAATAATCTTTGCGAGTTCATTGAACTGACACGCAAATACATCTATTACAGTCTGGATTTGGTTAATCGTACGAATTGCTCGCGTCAGAGGCGTTTTGGCCAGTAGGTTGGTCTTGGCAGCCGGGACGGCCAGCAGCGGTGGACGCCGGCGCCTCCACACATAGCGGTCCGGAACACTAAAGCTCAAGAGCTGCAGCACTCCAGGGTTGTGTTGCTTGCCGTGGAGTAACTTAATTAGGTAGACGACCAGTGTGAACTGTCGCCGCACGCCCAACTCATTGTATGACACCATACCCAGTACAAAAAGTGTGGGGTACATCAACGGGTATAACGGGTATACCCCATACAGTCTCCAGTACAAGTGGCGCGCGAACTTATTCTGTACGCGCTCCAGCATGTCAGAGTACTTCGCTTCGTGTGGGGCCCATACAACCCCACCATATTCTAAATGACTTCTGACTAGTGCATCGTATAACACCCTAATCGCTGTGATGTTTGTGAACCCTTGCGACTGCCGAAGCACAAAGCCGAGGTTCCTGTAAGCCTTTTTACATATCTTTACGATATGTTCGCGAAACGTAAGATCTGGAGTAAGATGTACTCCTAGATCACGTACTTGTGTAACTCGCTGTAATGCTGTCGCCTCCGCCATGTACTCATAGCAGATAGGATTCCGCGCACGAGTAAAGGATATTATCGAGCATTTTGATACATTGAAGCACAACCCATTGTCCTGGCTCCACTTCACCACCCTATCTATGTCACCCTGGAGTCGCTCACAGTCAGACTGATCCCCAACCTCGAGCAGCAACTTGAGGTCATCTGCAAACAATAAACATGTACTATGTCTTACTACTTCCGGTAAGCTGTTAATCATTATGATGAATTCCAGTGGCCCCAAATTGCTACCCTGACTCACCCCAGATCTGGTGTAATAAGGCTCCGACACGTGCCCATTGTAATCGACATACTGCTGACGGTCCCGCATATAGCTGACAAAGAATTGTAATAAGTGCGGCGTACATCCTACGTCTGCCAGCCTTTCTAGTAAGACATCGTTATCCACGGTGTCGAATGCCTTTTTGAAATCAAAGTATGCCGCGTCCACCTGCCCGCCAGCATCCACCACCGGCACAACCTGTGCCATGAAGTTAAGCAGATTGGTGGCAGTGCTGCGCCCGGGCCGAAAGCCGTGCTGCGCATCCGATAGCTGCGCTTGTACCTGTCCCTGTAGGCAGCTTTGGATTGCGGATTCAAATACTTTTGCCGGTGTCGACAGCACCGCCACCGGTCTGTACCCGCTGACATCTGGACCTGACTTACCCTTGGGCACTGGAACGACTCGTGTGATCTTCCACCGATCCGGAAATGTCGACTGCTGTAAGCAGATATTGAAGACGTGATGCAGCGGGCTCACTAAAACTCTAGCACAATCTCTGAAAAGGAATGCTGGTATTCCGTCAGGGCCAGATGAACGCTTTGGCTTAAGGTTCATCAACGCTGTCTGCACGTCCTTTATACTCAAGGCCCCAATATGTACACGTGCACTGCCGGCTCGACTTCTGGTCTCCGCCACCTGCGCGTCTAGTTTCGGTGGTTCCCGGTTGTATACCGACTCAAAAAAACCTGCGAACTCCACAACACATTGCTCATCCGTAAGATTACGACCATCTTTTATTATACTTTGCCGATTAATTCTAGACTTTTTTGATGCTATATATTGCCAGAATGACTTTGGATCTTTAACAAATCTGTTTTGAATTTTATTTTTGTGTTCTGTATGTGCTATGTCTATTAACTTTTTAACCCGGGCTCTACACTCAGCGTATTCACTGTAATCACAATCACGTTTTGATTTTTTGTACTTTTTGTGAAGGTTAGCTTTAATTTTAATGTATTTTATGATCTCTCCTGAGTACCATTCGGGATACACGTACCGGGAATTTTCTCGGTTAAGCTTTCTCCTAGGTACACATTTGTCTAAGATATTATCTAATTTATTATAAAACATATCTAAACTTTCTTTCTAATTCTTTCTAATTTATTATAAAATATATTTTTAAGTGAAATTTTTAATGGTGCAGATTTTGTGTAGTTTTTTTTATTAGACATCCACTGCGACATTGTGACATCGACTGCCAAAAAAGGCATATCCCAATGAGTTTAACCCTTTGAGTACACCAGGGCACCGGTGTCTTCGCGGTGTTGGACAGTTTAAGACCATATAAAATACATCTACTTAATTATAAAGCTAGTGTTGTTTGGTCATAAACTACAATGTTTTGAAGTAAAGGTTGGAGCTATGAATTATTTATTTTTGTGTGTGTAATATTCAATAGGAGTTGAGTAGGAGGTGAAAGCACATGGTCAGTAGCTAATCTAATAGATACATTTGTGACCTTACTTCTTGAGGTAGTCAACAAGTTCCTTGATGGCTTCAGAGGTGAGTCCCTGTGCCTTCAGTATGGCAATGCGCCGCTTTCTGGCCGCCGAGTTGGTCTCATCAGCCTTTATGATACTGTCCAACACTTCCAAAGCTTCATCATATCTGGAAACACATTATATTTTGTTAAGAAAATATATTTTTCTTTTATGTATGTCTACAACTCAAGTATGCTTGACCTTGGAGTTATGCTCAACAAGCTTTGACAGGAGTTTCATTTCACAAAAACAATGTTACTGTTTACAAATATATACTTTTAAACATGCATAAGCATGAACTATAAGTTAAGGTCAAAGCATTTATTTTAATGAATTTAAGCTCTTCGGAGCATCCAACTCAGTTGATGTTCCTATTAGGAACTATTACAAAAAGTAAATAAAAGTTTAAAAAATAACTAGTCCTAACTTTTCTTCAGCCTCCAGCAGTGCTGCTTTGTGCCTCATTACGCGCATACTGCCTGGGAACTCATTGGACAGTACATAGATGCACATGGTGGCCACTCCATACGAGTGACAGTCCAGGGCAGCATATATAACTTGTTCCAACACCAGGTGCTCTGAAAATTTGAGATAAAAGTGAATGAACAATTTGTTACACATATGGTTGCCCGTTTCTTAACTAAAAGTTACTTAGGGTAACGTAGCAGCTAAACTATCCCCTTACTTGTACTATTAGGTGTAACTTATTAAAAACTTATAGGTTGGTGAAAAACAAAATGAAGTTATATCTTTATTCCATAAATTTTCATTCATTTCCTCAAGTTACGTAGGATTGGCACTGTAATATTTCTTCAAGTCTCCCAGTCAAACATAATCTATCACACATTCAAACCCAAAAGCATTTATTTCAATTAAACCACAATTTGGTACTTTTGAAACACCAATGCGTAAAGTAGTAGTAAACATTTAGCTTTAGAATAAATAGAGTATCACAATCATTCCAGTACACTATAATAACCCTTCTATATTACCCTTCCTGCAGCATTATTCAGCTTGTTAAGAACACTTATTAATTCCACTGTAGTTGTCATCATCATCATATTTTCTTAACAAAAGACAAATAAAATTGTACTTACTCTCATTGCCAAGTTTGCTCAAGTCATCACTTAAGACTGTAGTCCATAACTCCATCACATCTTCACTCCTTCTCTCATTGTTCTCTCTCCATTGACGAAGCAAGTCTTTGGCTTCTGAAAATGTCATATTTGTTGCAAATTTAAGTCAAACACATTTGTACACACTATTTGTATTATTTAGGGTATATAATTGTCATGTTAGGCAATTATTAACACATAATTACATATATCCATTAACATTATATTACAAGTTCACAAATTATAGCAACATAAAAATATTTTCATACTCATAGATTAAAATGAACAAAGAACAAATGTGCCTTCGCTATTATAGTTAGTTGAACTAGGTGATAATAATGTTTCTATAAAACTAAATACAGTGGCCAAGACGCACAGAATATTAGAATTAATTATATACATACCGCTGTAAGTTAACTCTTCAAAGTTGTAAGACATTTTGCTAATTGCGACCTCTTTGTTAATTTGTCTTGGATTGAGATCGACTCCAGTTCACGTGGAAACTATAAATAATATATAATATTGTGAACTTGATTTCCAATTAGTTAAAAATTCAAGTTAAAGTTTACTCTATCGCAATGAGTTGTAGATGTAGTTGTGATACTGAATGAAGGAAAAAGGAAATGTCACAATAAATTATTATGTCAATGTCACATTTTCAGTGGTGTCAATGAATAATGATGGGGTGGATTTAACAATTCGATTATGTTGGACTTTGGTCTATTATCGATTGTTCACTTTCATTAAACCGATTTGTTAGATTCATAATTTTCTCCTCTTTCTTGCGTATTTTGGTCTCAATGTTGATTTTCGTGACCTCGACAAATTACCTGCTTATTTATTATCGTTCGCCTTATTTCTTCAGTTTCATACTTTAATTATAGTACAAAATGAAATCAAATATTGCAACAACTTACTCCTCAGTATAGTTCTTCAAGAGAGCTCTAGGCTCCTAATGTGTGTTTGTCTCGTTTCATCAATAAATAATTCTAATTAGAAAGGCATTGTAAGGTCAATTATAATGATTCATGAATATTTATATTCGTAAACAAAGAATAAAATCGATTATTTATTATTGATTCTGGGGTGCCACTCTAAAGGGCATAGACCTTGTCCAGAAAGGACAAAATACTACCCTAAAGTCATTGACCTATTTAGCGCGTTCCAGCTCAATGTCTCATCAAAAACGATATAAGAAGTAAAGTGATGCAGTATCATTTTCGATGTGATATTTGACAAGCACAGTTACTTTATTTGGAAAGTTATCACGTCCAAAACTATGATAGCAAAACAATAAATCAATTGCATTAAAAATAAGTACAGGAAATCAAAATCATTCCAGTTTTTATTCTCTATGGTTAATATCATAAATAAATTCCGTTCGACGCATACGGTGTTAGCAGTATTTCGTTTGAGTAAGAAAAACGTATAGAAATTCGATTATAGCACATCGCCACGAGCGCATATTGATGTTCGGGTTCGTGTATCGGAATATAAAAGTTTGTGTGTGAACGTGAACAAGACGTCTGCAATATGTCTGACTATTTGGAAATATTTTTAGATTTAGCTTAGTCGTAAATAATTAACGGATCTATTTAGAGTAATCGATGTCATGGACTATACATGACAAAAAATATAATAGGTGAGTACTCTTCGTGTGTTTCGGACAGAAAATCGTTATCCAGTTCATTCTTCATTGTACATAATGCTCGACTTTTTTATGTCTCAATGGCCTTTATCTCGGGGTTTTGTTTTCTTTTGTCCTCTGTTTGCACGTTGAACAAGTTTGTAGAATGTGATGTTGTGGACTTAATGTCGTATATTTATACAGAGTATTTTGTCTGACAGATCGATAAGGAGACGACGTGCAACGAAGATATGTATTGTTGTGGGTCGAGCGAGAGCCTTACGTGTGAATAGTAGATATGCGCGTCACGGACATTGTGCGGCCTGCCTCTGCGGACTAAGTGCGCGTGCTGTGACGACATTGTATTGATACGAACGCAACGTTACGCTGCGGGGCCGTGTCGCCATTGCTTTTGTCACCGTGTGAACAGTCCCCGACGGCAACATGGATCAGCTCGCGGTGCAGTGTCCCGTATGCACGCTGTTCCTTCACAATGGGATCACCCTAGAGTCCCATTTGGATACACATCCCAAAGACCAAGTTATAAAAGCTTTGTGTAGTATAGCATCAAACTCTAAAAGCTCCAATTATGGTAGTAGAACTTCTACACCTGCACATTCTGAACGATCATTCAGAAGCAGGTCACGAACTCCTGCTACAGATGACAGTGCCAAGTGGACTGCATCACGGAGCACTGAACATGATCGTTATTGGCGTAGAACACCAAGCAGAACTTCTAAATCAACACCATTATCAAGTACATCGAGGAATGGCACACCTGATATCAGAATGCTGGATATGGGGTTTGATAACCATGGTTTACCTGGCAGTAGTGTAGGACAACATGGAAACAATCCATTTCTTTTAAAAGCAGACAAGCTTCAGCAATCTTTTCAATCTCCTCCAGTTCCAGACTTTGACCAGCAGTTTGTTTACTATCCAGATCAACAAGAAGACAGAGAGATCAAATTTTCTCGAAGTGCTGAATATAGTGCAATGGATAATAGCAACAATATGTTCCCTTACAATGTGCCAACTATGGCAGCTCCAAATATGAAGTTGTTACCAACAGCAAGTAGGAAAGCAAGTGACCTTGTCAAAGTTCTACCTAAACCTAATAACATTTTACTTAAAACCAACATGGGTGGTGTGCAATATATAGGCCCGGGGGTCAAACCCATGGTAATGGTGCCATCTGCACCTACATTTGTGCAGAAGAATGTGCAAAACAATATGATCATGACAGGAGGTATACCAAACCCACAGATGCAGATTGATACCAAAACTGTTCCACCTCCCCTAGGTAGCAACCCACTCAACCAATTGTCTTGTAGTGGTGCGTTCACTCCGGGGACTACTGTTGTTACCCAAAACTCACAAATTATCTACAGAGAAATGGTGCACAATATAGATGGGAAGCCATTCATAACCACAATGCCTACTTTACTTGGAAATGAGAATGTAAATAATTTGTCTCAGGCTAGCTCTATGTATCAGAATGTGATGGTTGTAGATCAGTTTGGCAATACTTCATGTATGTACACAACACCTCAACAAATGATGAGCAAGGCGTGCCCCACATCCATGTATAATGAGACTGGGGCTATGATACCAAGCATAACAATGGACAAGTCTGTCCAGAGTATGAATGATCCTAAAACACTTATTATTGAGGTAGGCCCACTGGTTACCCCTGCTACTGACAATATTTGTGAAGATCCTAGTTCTTCTATGTCCCAACCAGTTGCTAATAGTCCTGCTGAGAGCACTGACAGAACTTCGGAGAATCTTGATCCCAAGTTAGAAATGTCAGGCAGTACTAAGGGCTTAAAGATTTTGAGTAACATCAAGGTCGAAGTGCCTGTGCAACATCACAAGAATATGGTAAACACGGTCATGGATCTTACTGGTCCTAATGAGTCGGACTACCCTGTTGAACGAGTAGATAGTCCTGAAAAGATCCTCCCAGATTTAGAAGATAACAACCAAATGTCTTCTGATGATACCCAGCCTTCAATGTCTAGTGGTGACAGCATGGCATCCCATACATTTTCTGTGATAAAAAATGTTGGTAATCCAAGTAAAAGTTCAGTTGATAATAAGTTGGATACAGACTTTTCAGATAGCTGTCCTGTGCCAGATTTAATATGCAATGAGAAACCTTCCATATCACCATGTAGTGAGTTGTCAGAAAATGGTGACAATTCTACTGATAGAACCTCAATATCTCCTAAGCCTGTGACTAGTCAAGTTAGCCATAGGAGTCTAGCTCTTCCAGAAAAGAAGATTCATCTTCCACAGAAGCCATACAGGCACAACACACTAAGACTGAACAATATTTTTGTTAGAAAGCACAAGAAAGTTTTGCAAATTAAGAATGCCAAGAACTTTACTGTAAGTCTTTCAAAGAAAATTGAGCAAAGAGACACCATTGCTTCATCATCATCAGCTTGCAGAACTCCTGAAAAGTTTATTATGAATAAAATGCACCAAACTGAAAAGACAGACTGCAAAGAAAAGAGTAATCTCTTGCAAACAATATCTGTGGAAGAAATTAAGGAGAGTGATGAGAACAATGACTTTGATGCTGATACAGAGGAACAATCTATGGATATAGAACAAGTAGAAGCTGGTAGTCTGAATCATTCTGAATTTGGTGGCAACATGGACCTCATACAGGTGAAAGAGGAAATAAATTCGAGCAATGAAGGAGGGTTTAGTAATGAGACCATGACTCCATCTGACCGTATGCTGAATTCAATAGACTCATTGCGACCTATTAATGTTATTAATTACGGCAATATGTCCAACGAGGATTTTAACGAGGAAGCTAATGACCGCGAATTATTAAATCTGGAAGGAACATCAAAAACCAAACAATTTGTCAATATGATGAACGAAAATTACTTTGGGGACAATATTTATGCGGATTACTTTACTCCAGATCGCGTCGAAGCGTTTGATGCGGAACGCGAGGCGGCGTCGTTTAAGGATGGCGGTAAAGATGGTATGTACCTGTGGGGCGAGCCGTCGCAGAAAGACGACGAGTTTGTGCTGCCCAACTTTATACACGAGAGTTACAAGATAGCAGAGAGTAACGGGATAGATTATTCCGAGCTAGGTGCTAGAGACGTGCAGGCGGACGTCGAGGTGGACGGCTGCGAGCCAGACAGCAAGGCCGACGTGCTCAGCGAGAGCCGCAGCGACAGCGACGCGCCGCTCAACATCTGTGCCGACGAGCGCATGCCGCCGCGCGGCGAGCTCAGCGGCCAGGAGAGCAACGGGGACATGGAATCGCCCTGGAGCGGGGTAAGGCATCGTCTACTTAACATTAACAATCATAAAGTTTAATCCACACCATGTTTTGTTTAGAGATACATCAAAATAAGCATATTTATTGGTTATTGGTTTATATACTTTATATTGGTTTATATAAAGTATATAAACCAATAACTTATATAAAGTATATAAACCAATAACCAAACAATTTGGTTCAGACATACCTACAGTGTATGGCGTGTAGCCTAATTTCCTGAGAGAGATGAAATAATTCTTTGAAGTAAAACAAGCATTTCCTAGCACTGCCCATATTTTTGTGAAGCACTGTTTATTGAAAGTAGAGTTACGTTTTTTTAGTTGTGGCTTGGTATTTCCAGATGTATTCCGAGGTGACGCCCTCGGAGCCGTATGACTTGATCGCCAGAGAGAGCTGGGCGTCGGCCTCCGACGGCTCAGACGTAGACACTAATGACAAGGAGCCTATGTTAGTAATGTAAGTCTCACATATCTCATAAAACCTTGTAATTTCTACCAAAATAATTCAAGACAATGTTGCAATCTTACAAACTTTCTTGAATATCATTTTGTTAGAAATTAAATTTTATGCTGATTCGAAGAACTAGATTATTTTTCATTCAACAAATAGAAAAATAGAAGTGTTGCGATTAAGTTGTTTAAGATGTAATGGTAATGTTTACAGTGACGAGGACGTACCGATAGCAACGCCGTCACCGGCGGTGGTGAACGCAAACAGGGCCGCTGCAGGGGGTGCAGGGCGGGCGGGGCGCGCCGGTCGGGGCGCTGGCGGCGCCGGGCGGGCGCGGCCGGGCGCCAGCGGGGCTCGTATAAGCGGGGCTCGCGCGCGGCGCCACACGTGTGCTGCGTGCGGCGCCACTGTGTCCACGCTGAAGGAGCTGCGCGCGCACAAGGCGCTGCTGCACGGCGCGCCGCACGCGCCCGCGTCCTACAGCCGCCTCGTCACCGCGCGGGCCATCATGAAGGAGGAGAAACCTGACGACACCAGTAAGCCCTCCTCTATCGTTCACGACTTATGCTAGCCATAACCATACCTCTGAAAATGCTGTCTTTTTTTATTCATCTCAAATTCGAGCCGTTCTGCTGTCACGAAGGTGTCCAATTCATCACGCCATCGACTGTATCACATTTTTCTTGAAGTTACATTATTATTCTTCACATTTCAGATAACCTTCTAACGCCGATTGACTCTAAAGATTCAATATCGTCCTCGATACTGCAAGTGTACGAGAATATTCAAGTGGAAGAAGCCAAGCCTAAGATAGAAGTAGACCGTCTGATCAAACAAGAAGTTAAGAGAAAACGGAAAGACTATGTCTGTCCCACGTGTAAAGTGGACCAAGTTACGGAGACATTATTTCACGAACATCTCAAGATACATCCGCTCGAGTGCCTCACGTGTGGGAAATGTTTCTTCCGTCGAGCAAACCTCGCACTGCATATAAAGACGCATCTAGGAATTAAGAATTATAAGTAAGTGTGGTTGGTGCCCTTTTTGTATTTTTCTAACTGATTTTAGCGACATTTAAATAACAATATCACATTCTGAATAATTACTTAAGTGTCTGTCCCTCGGTCCAGATGCGAGGTATGCGAGAAGCGGTTCCTGACGCGGCAGAAGTTGATGGAGCACCACAACGTGCACACGGGGCGCGCGCCCGTCAAGTGCACGCTCTGCGACGACACCTTCCGCCGGTACTCCAACATGGTGCAGCACAGGTACGGGCCGCGCCATCGTATGCGGCAATAACCATGTTCTACAATGGACTTTTATTTATTAAGAATACACACACAAAGGGGTGTTTAAAATATGTTGAGTAGAATCGAAATCTTGGCTAGCTCTGGCATCAGTGACATCGTCATAAGGTCGCCAGAATAGCCAGAAGCTACTAAAGGGGGCTGTAGCTCAGATGAAGTATTTACTCAATTCGAAAATGGCTGGACGACGTATAGACAAAATAGAAAACATAATACTTTTTTAAAACACAAACTCCTCAAAAGTATCTAGTTTACTGACAAATTAGATGTCAAATGTCAAGTTTGCGAAATCAATGTTGTCATGATATGTTGTTTACTTGTGTATTGAGATTTGTTTTTATTGATATTTAAGTTTAAAAATAGTTTTAACCATATTGATAATTGTTTAGTTCAGAGAAGTATTTAGTTTTATTTGGGTAAACATTTTGTGATAATGTGGTGAGTTGATTTTGTTTTCGTAACCAACCATAGTAGATCATTAAATATACACAAAAAAGTATATTGAAGTGAATTAATGTCTAATATTGTCGTTTGATGGGCTAAGGTCTTGTAGCTGACGATGTTTAAAGGCTCTGGGAGCCTTGATATCTCAGATGTAGTAGAGTGCGATGTACAAGTATGCCCCGTGGCAGGGACCGGCACCACCTGCACAAGCGCGGCAAGGTGCGCGACTTCGTGTGCCAGTGCGGGCTCGTGCTGCACTCGCGCGCCAAGCTGCGCTGGCACCAGGAGACGCACGCCGAGCGGCCGCGCGCCTGCCACTACTGCAGCGACAAGTTCGTGCACGCCGCCTCGCTCACCCGCCACGTGCGCCGCGCGCACAACCAGTACTTCGTCGCCGAGCGCCTGCAGGGCAAGCAGGACAACGTGCAGTGCCCCGTCTGCAAACAGGTTCGCCCCGCGGGACGCGACGTTCTTACCTCGCACGTTTGTACATGTCATCAAATATGTTTGCGTATATTACAGGTGTATCTGAGATCCAACCTACGGACGCACCTGCAGACCCACAGCGGCCAGCGACCCTTCGTGTGCATCATCTGCAACAAGTCGTTCACCACCAAGTGGAACCTCAAACTGCACCGTTGGACGCACATGTCTCGGTCGGCCAAGCCGTTCAAGTGCACGCTGTGCAAGGGAGCCTTCATCCGACAGTCGGAGTACATCTCCCACATGAACGCGCACAAGTCGGTGCGGCCGTACACGTGCAACTACTGCGGCTGCCAGTTCATCCGCAAGTACAACTGCCAGCGCCACGTGCGCGAGCACGAGTCGGCCAAGAAGTACGTGTGCAAGGTGGCGGAGTGCGGCAAGTCGTTCCACCGCTCGTACTACCTGGCCGAGCACATGAAGGTGCACAGCGGCGCGCGCCCCTTCGCCTGCGCCGTCTGCGGCAAGACGTCCAGCAACAAGTCCAACCACAACAAGCACGTCAAGATCCACCACGCGCGCGAGCCCGTCGCCACCGAGGCCTAGCCGCGGCCCGGCGCCCGCAGCCCCGCGCCGAGCTTTCTCATCACCATCTACAGCATCGAGGCTCTCGTCGAGCTGCTTGTAAATATCTAGTTCAATTTGAATTTATTGTAATTGTTGTAAATACAGGACCAAGCGTGTACATTTCGGGGAGGACTGGTGTGGCGGAGAGTTTCGAGGTGAGGAGTGTGGCGCACCAGACGTTGTAGACATTACTTCAGCGGGACGTCGCGACATGTTAGTCTAGACGTGAGCAGGACTCCTAGAGGACCCACGAAATGTTTAGAGTGCGTGATCGTACGCCGAGTTTGTTTTTGTGCCTTATAGACTGAGCAGTCGGACTCATATTGATCGCTCCGCTGCTCGACGATATAGCGGACTGTACCACGGACACCTGTACAGGCGACTTGTGTTAATGACGTAATGACGTAGCTTTCTCCCCGCGCCGGCGGGCTCTGGTTGTGACATACATTTAGTGCGCGTGTATAACGTGTGGTGCGTCAACCTATGTAATTAAATAGTCAAATTAATAAAGGGCATTTCGGTATAGGTACCCCGCTACACTTATAGTTTTTTCTACTTATATTAAACTTTATTTCACTATGCTTCCATTCTATAAGCTTGTTGCTGCGGTTATGGCTCGCTGCATCTGATCAAGGCGTCGTTATTTTTCTATAACAATGAAAAGTAGATTTAACATATTTGTAACATATTTTAACCAATGACTTGAAATTAATCTAGTTGATATGGAGTGATACACATAAGTATTTAACAACGACTGAATTACTTTAAATACCCGTTAGAGGTAGAGCTCAAAAGCAGGTAATTATTATTAATAATTTATTTAAAAATAACAAAGATACATGCCTTGTCGATGCCGCGCAGCCACTCCCGTCAGTCGCGAGCTGTAACGAGTAACTTTATGAAGATTTAGTCAAATGGACATACCCTAAGGGTGATACTAATAACTCATTGTAAAAGTATTTTAAACATTTACGTTATTTAGAATAATTTATGTAAATATAAATTTAATTACTTTAATTTATTATTATTACTTTTTGTATTGTTACTACGTATTATTCCGTTTTTTACATAAGGTGTGAGGTGATTACAATGTGTGTTCTGAACTTGTGACACGTGGTCGTGGCCATCGTACTCTCAACTCGCAGTGTGAGGGAGATATTACATCAAATGTACGCGCTCTCTCTCGCACTCGAACTGTGATTATGTATACAATACAGGTTGGTTGTTTTCAATTTGAAGTTGTTACAAGATGACGAAATTTATCAAGATTCAATTATTTTGTACGAGTATACACTTGAAACAGCTTCCAGTTGAGAACAGGCCGGATACGGGAAGCACATGTTACCAAAATTGAAGCGTTTGAGACGCGTTTATGACATTTTTATTGGAAGGATTTATTATTAATAATGAATATTTCGTTTCACAAATATTTGTATGTTTACTTCGGTATCTGCCTAAACATTAGACAAGTAGTGCAATTCAGCATTTGTTGTTAACTTATTGTTATTTATCATTGACAAAGTTAACTATGTATGTAACTAGTAACTGCACGGTCTGTGTAATCAGTATCAGAGATATAAGCAATAATGTGATTTATATCAATAAATTATTTATTTTTATCAAAGGAGTTCCTCTTTGCTGATGTTGATTACACAGGATTATTGCTCAACTCAGGAGTGTCAAACTAAGGAGGTCGGCACCTCCGTGTCCATGGTATATAACAATTTGTTCACAAATGTACTTTAGATATATTTTTCTATAATTTGATATATATTCTGTCATGAATCACACCAGCTGTGTTCATATTGCTCGGGGCGGTACAAAGCGAGGCTCGACGACTAACAATTTTATACTTTATGATGATAGGACAAGCTTGAAAATCTTTTGATAATATTTGACAGGATGATGAGTTAGCATGATGAGCTGGCATTTGTACTTAGATATTTTAGTTCTTGGATAAACTTAGAAATGTTATGTTGTGCAAAGTCTTTATAAAAATGTTATTCACATGTTGAACCTGGTTAACCTTCGTGAGCAATACTAAAAACAAGAGACCAGAGTCTGCAGTCCTGACAAAATTTGTTCACTAAGTTTGGGAATTTTTTTAATAAATTTTCAACTTTACCCTTTTGCAATAAGGTTAAACATCTATTAATGAAATATCTGACTTAGCAGTCCATTTCTTTCTACTACATCTAAAAGAACGGAAGTTTTCAAATGTCGCCGAGTCTCACATAGCTCCGAGCAAAGTTATAACGGTATATATTTTACACATGAAACAATGATCTCGTATTTTATAAACACAATGTAAAACAAATTGTTTTTTTGTTTGTTTATGTTGTATCGTTACGTAGCGCAGGTTTGCTGGCTAGCCACTGAGGAAGGAAATGGAAAAAACGTTAAGATTTTTTATATTTTAATACTCAAGTTTCAGAAGTGATGGACAATCTGTACGTGATTTTTAACTGCCTACATATCTGTTTTAAGCGAGTTCAATGTACAGAGTAGTGGAGACTGCGACCTGCGCTACTGCTAAACACAAAGTATGCGGTTCTCTTGTTTTATTGATATTGTACTAGTATACAGCTGTATGTTGTAACACTTGAACTACACAATTTTTAAAAAGTGGCTTTCACAAATTGATGGTTTTATGTTTTTCGACTTGCCAATTTTTGCTACTTATTGATAACCAGGATTTTGCTAAATTGCAGTTAATTTGTTTATGCATAAGGTGGAATTTAGCAATTCGATAGAATTGTCCGCTAACAGTGGAAGAGAATCGCATACTCTGTGCACAGTTTTGACGACGTAATAGCTGTAATCTTGCTCGTAACTCAGTTATTAGAAGAAATTGGTTATTTATTTTATGTTCATAAGGTCTTAGTTTACTTGTACATAATGTTAGGTAATTTTATAATTGATCGCAAAATGTGGGTGGTACACCAAATTCAGTTCGGCGGGGTCACTGAACTGAACAGTTTGTGTCTGCAATAAATTATTATTAAGAATTTCATTTTGTACGTTTTATTTCAAGCGAATCATTCTAACTGGTGGGTGCTGCCATCTGGCGGGTATGTATCACAACTCCAACAGTGGCAAATATTATTATTGTTGTGTAAGTGATGCATAACAAATATAACAATTTGTTTGACAAGAGCGCGATAACCAGGAAGTTTACTAACGTTACTTGATTTATTGTCTCGTAATCTCTGGAGCTGTTTCCCTTTTCCTATTGCGTAGTTACTGACGACGCGAGATTATGAACAATAGATGCACGCACGAACGCCGCGCATGTCGCGGGCGAGTCCAACCCTGTATTCCTTGCTTACCTACAGCTCTCCACATGCATGCTCCAACTTCTGTGAATTCAATTCATGGATTTCCAGAGCGTTATCATTATTTCTCTAGAGGTCGTCTCAGATATAAAATCGGATCACTGCTACTGATATATAAACATAAATATTATAGTTATAGTTATTTTCCATTAACAGTTTTATTTTTAGCCCGTCATGCGACAATAGGCTTACGTCAATGAGCTTTAGATATTTGCGTGGGCCGACTGTGAGCGGGAAGGCTGACATCAGTAACCGCTCTATTGGTGGAGTATGGCACTAGCGCCTACCACCAGCATATTTGAGAGGAATTTTCGGTGTCGAGCATAATCTGCTTCACTTAGTAGTGAAGATGGTTCAATGTTTTTGTTACTGCAACCTAAGTTACCTACGTGAAATATTTCATATTCGTATGTGTTCTTATGACTGCCGAGGTTGCTCTCAAGCGCCCGAAACTATCCGAAGCAGCCATCGGACTCCTGAAGCCGCCATAAAGGCGTCTGAGTTGTATAGAGCCTCACCTTTGCCCACCGATAGTGGGTACTGGGCCTTTATGTATCTACTAGATTCCTTAATACCAATTAAAGTAGAAGAAGTAATCCTTAATAGATGTAACAAATTCCTTAAATTAAAACTACTGACTGATTAATTACGAAAAATCTTCAAAAAAAAAGAAAAGCTAAAACTAAGTAGTTCCACACAACGCGTAAATACGCCCAAATCACAATTCGTAACATTCACGTCCGCACACACAGGGGCCGCGACCTAAAACGTATGTAATTAAACAATCCAATATTATAATATAAGAATGACAATTTATTGCCGCAATAAATAAAATCATATCTACAATCGTATCGGGTAACTGACCTCTGAAACGCCTCTGAATAAGAACAAATGCTTTAAAAGTAACGTCAATAGTACGAGATAACCTCTTTATATGAGTTTTGTGTTTCAATTATCTCATTATAGACTACGATGACTGCCTCGTCGTGACTTAAGTTAATTCATTACTCTGATAATGATTAGCACGCTACACGATACCGGATTTTTTTACATTTATTACGCTTTACTTTATTTAATGACAGGCAACTTATCGTAAATTACATTGAGTAATTTGGACTTATCAACTTATTAATTGGTAAAAACTGATTGCTATATGATACTGCAATTTTTTTGTCGAGTTTTCCTACTAGGCCACGTATCATTGTGTAATCAATACCTATCTAATGACTAACCTAAGACATGAGTTCTTAACGCATTAGGTGATTATAATTGAAAATAAAATAAACAATATTTTTTCCAATCAGTGTTTATTCCATCAACTAGGTAGTATTCTGCTTATAATTCAGAACGACTTATTGTTTATAATACATACTAACACATAGTCTACCGTAAAACTGGAGTCATTGCTACGCGTTTAATTTAGCTCCAGCTACGGCGTAGACCTGTCTACGAGATATAAATTCGTTTAGATTTTATTTGCTTTTTACTCGTAGCTCGTAGCAACAACTTATCTATGAAAAGAAGGACCAAGTATCCAAGTTGGTATTTGCAGTAACTTGCGTTACAGAATTTAGATTAAGTATCTACCACATCTCTAAGATAACATTGAATTTATCAAAGGACGCTACAGAAACGATATTTTGCGTTATATAACACGTGCGAAGCATATTACCTAATCACAGAGACCTGCGTACGCCAGAGAGTAACGTACTCGTACCTACGTAGTTGTCAGC